ACTCTCTCACATCCCAGGTGGCCTCCTCCAGACCCCTCCTCGCCCTGGGCCCGCACTCACACACCCCCCCCCCAACCCAGACTCCTCTTGCTGTGGCCACCTGCTTGTCCGATTGGCAGCTCCAATGTGCCATGCCTGAAACAGAACTTCTGCTCTTTCCCCAAACCTGCCTTCTCATCTCTGGTAATGGCTCTTCACCCAGGAAGTGGCTGAGGCCAAAAAATAGGGTCATCCTGGAACTGCTTTTCTCATCACCCCCCATCTGAAGCCCGAGGCCACGCTCGCACCTCCACTTTTGAAACAGATCCCAAGCCCAGTTCCTTCCTCTCCAGCTTCTACTGCTGCTGGATTCTTGCTGGAGAAGTCTCCCCGCTGCTCCCCACCACACACACACACACACACACACACACACACACAGTCCTCAGGATTCCCAGCACACAGCCAGAGGGATCCTTTAAAAATGTAAATCAGACTCTGCTCTGCTCAGAATCTTCCTGCGGCTGCCCCCCAAGCTGCTGAGGCCCCATGTGCCTCCTCCCTCCTCTGGGCTCACCCTGACTCCCTTCCCCGCCCATGCCAGCCAAAGGCCTTGCTGTCCCTCAGGCCCATCTTGGGGCCTTTGCTCTGACTGTCCCCTGTGCTGGACACTGACCCCAGTGACTTGCCCTTCTAGAACATCCTAGTCTTTGCTGCAGTGGCCCAGGCCTCCAGGTACGGTTCACATCACACACCACTGCTAGCCCCAAGGTCCCTCCAAGCCCCTTCCTCTTTATACCTCTAGGGACGTGCCTATAGTTCTTTCTCTCGAGCACAGTCCACCTCCCTCCCCTGGAAATTAAGCGCCAAGATGGTGGGAACCTTTGTCTCTTTTTTCCCCTGTTTATCCCAGCGCCCAGAACAGGGCCTGCACAGGGCGCAGCTTAGTGAGTCTGGAATGGATGGGTGGGTGGGTGGACGGATGGGTGGGTGGGTGGATGGACGGGTGGGCAGATGGATGGATGGAACACATGAGTGGATTTCTCTCCAATCCGCATGTTTTCATGATCAGTTTCTAGAGGAGGCCTGGTAGAGACGGCAGAACCGGGCCCCCTACTCTTGCTCGAAAATTGCACCTGCACTTGGACGTTCTTTTCTCTGGAGCATTCAGTCTCTTCACAGCCCACAGAAGTGACTCCTGACCAGGGCTGGAGGGGAGTCTCTTCCATGTGGCCTCTCTTCTGCCCCATTGCTGGCTGCTCCACCCTGGGTCTCCCGGTGGATGCCCACCACCCCTCTCCTGGACTGAAGATGACACCTCCCAGTCTAAGTGAGGGCTGTCGCCCTTTCTGACCCCATGGTGACTCCTTGAGCTAGTTCTGTCCTTGCACACCAGTCTCAGCCCCACCTCTCACCAGCGACGTGGCCTGGGGCCTGGCTTCCCCAGCCTCCTTGTCTCCCTCTGCAACAAGGAGAGAGTGCCAGGTTGCTTCGTGATTTCTGAGGTAAATGAGGTTGACAGTGTGTGCCTGGAACTCAGGGGTCCCCCAATCATCACACCCTGGTTTTGAGTTGCTGTTACAATGGTCTTTCCTCTGCATCCACCATCCAGGGATGTTCCTTTAAGGCTTTTTAATACGTGATTATTAGTGAGCTGGTGACCAGCTCCTGTGCCCTCTGCTTGCACCACCCAACCTCCCCCCATCCCCGGATGCCCTGGCCCTGCCTCTAGCCAACATGTTCATCCAGGAGCCTGAGCCCGGTATCCCCACCTGTCTTGCCCCCAACATCCAGAACTGAACCAGGGCTGAGCCCTGTGCAGATGGGGGAGGACAGTGAAGCCCCACCCCCGGAAATCCCCCGTGTCGAGGGAGGGGGCTGGAGGAGTGGAGTCACACCCACAACTCCCAGGCAACAGCTCCAAGGCAGGATGTGGACAGAATTCCCTGAGGTGACCGGAGCTCCAGTGGCTGGTTCCCTCAGAAGCCAAGTCTCCCAGCCAGGGCCCGGGTGGCAGGTAAAGATTCCTACCCTGGGGTGCAACAATTTGTCCCTTCCTCTTCCTCCTGCTTGGCTTGGCTGCTAAATCCTTCTGAGCAGATCAGATGACAGAGGCATACTGGAGACACAGCCCAGCCTCCAGGAGGCCCAGACAGAGGAGAGGAGAGGCTGGTGCTGAAGATGGGGTGGGGGTGGGGGCAGGATCTGTAAGAGTCCTGCGCCCTTACCCCTCCTAACTGTCCAAGGGAGTCCTGCACCCAGAGAGGAGAGGGGAGGCCGCCAGGTCACTGAAAACATCAGCATCACAACCAGCCTCTGTCTGCGGCTAAGAGGGAATGTGAGCGGACTTGAGGGAATTTTATTTTTGATGGTGGCCAAGGCAACATGCTAGGACTTTCCAAGGTCATCTCAGGGAATCCCAACCCCCCTTGCACCGGAGGGGACACTGCTACTGTCCCTGGGGTTAGCGATGGGAGGTTCTGGCAGCTACTGAACACAGCCTCCCACTCCGGCCTCAGGCCTAAGCCTCAGTTTCCTGATCTGCAAAGTCGAGGCCTCCTCTCTCCTGAAGGCAGTTTCCAGAATTAACCAGGGTGCAGGTGGCCAGGAAATGGACGGTGCTTAGAAAATGACAGGTGTGCAACAGGCAGCTGACCCTCCAAAATTCTGAAGCGCCTTTCCCCTATCATTTTTTTTTTTAAATGGTCAGTACCAGCTTTTTTTTTTTTTTTTTTTAAGATTTATTTATTTATACAAGCACTGGGTACAGTCAGAAGCGCGGGAGGGTGAGAGAATTCACCAGAGCCAGAGCGGGGAGCAGAGCAGGCAGAAGGACCGAAGTCCACTGCTGAGGGGAGCAGGGGGCAGCAGGAGAGGTCTGCGCGCCATGCGGGACCCTCCTCCGGTGGCCGGGGAGCAGCCGGGGATCGAACCCGCGCTGCAGAGGCTGCGGGCAGCTTCGCAACCCAGCGCTCAACCGCTGCGCCACCGGGGAGGCCCCCCCCATCATTTTTTTTACCTTTTTTTTTATTTATTGTGGTGAAACATATATAACATCAAAGTTCGCATTTTAGCCAGTCTTCAGGGTACAGTTCAGCGGCCTTGAGTGCATGCACTGCTGTGCGACAACCCCCACACGGCCCCCAGAACTGTGTCATCTTCCCCAGCTGAAACACCAAGTGCCCTGTCTTCTTCCTTTACTTTAGAAAATAAACCTCCCGCAGACATATCCTGGCTGGGAAGCTCAGGGAGGGGAGAAAATGACAATAGGCTGGCAGAACAGGGAGGAAAAGGAAACAGGAAGTCAGAGGAAAGAAGAGGCTCCTGGGAGGTGCATCCAGGAAGCTGCTCCCGGGCCAGCCAGCCCCACCCCAGGTCTGGCTCCTGAAGAGTGGAAGACCAGGGCCCTCCAGCGGATCCCCCACCCCTCCAGCCCAGGCAAGACCCCCCAGACACCTGCCCAACGCAGGGTCTCTTCGGAAGCCACCCTATGAGCCTCAGCATCCTCATCTATAAAATGAGGTGCGGGTGGCTGTTGGAGTCTCCTAAGGCTGCTGTGGAAGTGGGGTCGCAGCATGTGTCAAGTGTATAGGGGTGGCAAGCGGGGGAGGCCTGCAGTGTCGGCCACCATAGTCACCGCTGCCGGTATCACCCACCCACAGCCAGGAGCAGAGCAGAGGCCCTGGGCACCACGAGGGGAAGGGCCTTTCATCCAGCTGATCCTCTGCACCCCTGGGGCCCTTCTCCACACCTCGGACCAGATCAACGAGCGACCCTGTGCTGGGCAGCACAGCCAAAAGGGCAATCGAGGCTCTCCTGTGCCTACCAGGAATGCTCCAAAGGCTGACACGTCCAGTCTCTCAGAGCCAAGGCACTCAGTGATGAGCACATTAGGTTCTGGGGAAAAACAGGGAGAGGATCCTTCACCCAACCTAGGGATCAGGGAAGCTTTCCTGGGTGAGATGAATGAGTGGGCGTCAGAGCAGAGAGCTGGGGTTCCCGCAGACACCAGGCTGTGTCATAGCCCTAGGGGAGGAGTCAGCAGAAGGGGGGGGGTGGGGGAGGGCAGTTCGAGGGTCTGCTTGCCCAGGTACAGAGTCTGGACACTCTGCAGGGACCGGGGCCATGGAAGTAGCACCTCCATTTTGGAGGACTCGCCCTGAGGACTTGGGCAGAGGGCAGTGAGAGACATGAGGGTGATGGACAGCTGGCTACGAGGGCCTCATGGGAGACATGGCAGAGAAGAAAGAGGCAGGAGGAATGAAGAGGAGGTGGACTGAGAGCTTTTGGGGGTTAAACTGCCTGGACTGGTGTGATTCACAGAAAATGTCCCCCAAATTGTCCCCATCCTAATCCCCAGGACATATGAGTGTTTGAGATGGCAGGGAGGATAAAGGCTGCAGATGGCGTGAGGGCTGCTAATCAGCTGGCTTGGCGATGCAGAGATTATTCTGGAATACCTGGGTGGCCAATGTAATCATAAGAGCTCTTAAATATGGACAAGGGGAGCAGAGACAGCCTCACGATGGGGAAAGATTGGCGTGGCCACTCGGACTTTGAGTGTGAAAAGGGGCTGCCGGCTGAGCCGCGTGGACAACCCCTGCCTTTGGAAAAGGCAAGGAAACGACTCTTCATAGAGGCCTCAGAAGGAACCCAGACCTGCCCACTGCTTGAATTTAGCCCAACGAGACCTGTGGCCCACTTCTGAGAGAACTGTAAAAACACGTTCGGGTAGGTGTAAGCTCAAGGCAGGTTTGGGGGAGATCCCACGGAGCGAATGGGAAGGGGGCGTTGATGGTGCGTGGCCTGGGCGCAGAGACAGGCAGCCCACAACCGCCAGAGCCTCGGGAGACACACACGAGAGGCGGGCGGCGTCTGTCTTGCGCTGACCTGAGCAGCCCAGTCCAGGTCCTGTCTGGACACCAAGCCCAGGAACCCAGTGAAGGGTGAGGGGTTTCAGGGTCCCAGGTGGGGGCGCAGAAGCAACTGCAGGATGGAGGGAGAGTGAGGTCCCCACCCTTATGTCTCCTTTTCAAGAATCCAAACGGCCACACTGGTTAAGCTTCCACCTTCTGAACAAGCCAGAGAAACAATTGAAACTCCAAGGCCCGAGGTCCAGGGAGGTCCGGGGCGCGCAGACGCTGGGGCCTAAACAAGGGGTGTCTCCGGGAGAATGCGCCGGGCCGGCTTCCCCGAGGAGGGTGGGCAGGTGGGACCGGCTGGCATCTCTCCCACCTCGTTTCCCGCAGCAATTCTTTTTGGGTTTTTCTCTCCTGTAAAACACAAAAAGGCGGGGGTGGGGGCTCCCCTCCGGGGAGGCGTAAGGCTCGTCCCCGCCCGGCCGCGCTGGTCTCCCCGCGGGCTTCGCTCCCCGCCTCCCCCGGCCCTTTGTCTGGCTCCCGCGCTGCCGCGCACATGGTCTCCTGTCAAATTCCGGGAGGCTCGGGGGGACACGTGTCAGGAAGCTGGCAGCTCCGCCGGCCCGCGTAACCATGGAAACGGCGGCCAATGGGAGGCCCGCGCTGCCCTCGGGGGCGGAGCCTATCGAAGCCGGCGCGGGGGCGGGGCCGAGACGACGGCGCGCTGGGGGCGGGGCCCAGGCCACGCCCACCCGACCCGGGCGGCCGCCGCCACCGGGACGCCCCCCAGGCGGTGACGGCGCTGGGGCGCGGCTCCGGCGACGTCTCGACAGTCTTTGCTTGGCTCGCCTGGGATTCGCCTGACAGTCTTTGCCTTTAAGCATCAGATCGAGATCCTGGGCCTCCCTGGTGGCGCAAGGGGTTAAGCACCGCGCAAGGGCTTAAGCAATCCGCAGCCTTTGCAGCACGAGTTCGATCCCCAGCCGGCCAGGGAGAGACCCACATGGCGCAGCAGAGCCCACTGCTCCCCTCGGCAGTGTGTTTCAGTCAGGCTGCCTGTTCTGCTCCCCACTCTGGTGAATCCTCACACACACACACACATGCACCCCGCATCTCTGACCAGTACCCCAGCTCTTGTATGCATAAATAAATAAATCTTTAAAAACAAAAAGTATCAGGGCCTCCCCGGTGGGGCAGCGGTTGAGCGCTGGGTTGCGAAGCTGCCCGCGGCCTCTGCGGCGCCGGTTCGATCCCCGGCTGCTCCCAGGCCACCAGAGGAGGGTCCCACATGGCGCGCAGACCTCTCCTGCCGCCCGCTGCTCCCCTCAGCAGTGTACTTCGGTCCTTCTGCCTGCTCTGCTCCCCGCTCTGGCGCTGGTGAATTCTCTCACCCTCCTGCGCTTCTGACTGTACCCAGTGCATGTATAAACAAAACAAACAAACAAATAAATAAATAAAATAAAACATGCCTCTATTAAAAAAAATTAAAAAAAAAAAGTATCAGATTAAGATCCTGCAGCAGATCTGGGTTTAGATCCTACCAGCAACACCTCCTGGCTGCTGTCCTGGGCAAGAGACGCAAAAGATGCCTAGGTGTTTTCTTTCTTTTTTTTTTTTTTTTTAAGGATTTATTTATTTATACAAGCACTGGGTACAGTCTGAAGCGCGGGAGGGTGAGAGAATTCACCAGAGCCAGAGCGGGGAGCAGAGCAGGCAGAAGACACCTGCGCTGCGCACCATGTGGGATCCTCGAACTGGCGCTGCAGAGGCTGCAGGAGGCGTCGCAACCCAGCACTCAACCGCTGCGCCACCAAGGAGGCCCAATGCCTAGGTGTTTTCATCTGGTAACCTGAGTGGCTGTCAAGCTCCAGTGAGATAACAGGCCACTCGCGCAGGCCTGGCCCCCTGGGCTCCCTGTAACAGCAGTGACCATATGACCAAGGTTCTTGTCCTAATCCTCCAGAAAGGATGACCCTATTTGGGTGTGAAGAATCCACCTCTAGGGGATGGTGTCTCCCAGAATGCTGACCTCTGACTCATCCCCTACAAACCTGATTCCAACACCAGACTTAACATGCCTAGCAACCAAATGGGAAGATGGGCCTGGCATTTATCAGGGTCCCGTGGCAGCTGCTGGGTGCTGAGCACCTGGAGGGGACACAGCTGAGCACCTTGGGAGCTGGGGCAGAAAGAAAACAGGGACAGGGTCAACTGCCAGAGGCTAGAAGCAGGGTTTTGGAGTTGCCGCCCAAGCAGCCACCAGCCAGGTGACCCACACAAGTGTTTTTACCTCTCTGGGCAAAAGCATCTTGCAAAACAGTGAGGATAATACCTGCTGACCTCCCACGCAATGTGAGGAAAAATCTGAAATGAGGAAATGGATTCTCAAAAAATCCTGTTTTCAAGTAAGCCTGGAAGAGCTGGCTGGAAGCAGAAACCCAGAGCAAATTGCACTGGGAGAGGCCAGGCCCCTCCCTCCTGGCTACTCCTGGGGTGCAGAGCAGGGCCTGGGACCTACCCAGGAGCTTCATGTCACTGCAGTCTCTCACTTTGATGAAGTGGAAAATGCATCTATTTGTTCATTCAACAGACTGGGGGCCAAGGGAGGAGCTGCTGTGTGCCAGGCACTATACTAGGTCCTGGGAGCTATAACAGTGAGCAAAACAGGGTCCTGACCCAGAAAGAGTTTGCCCTCCAGCTGGAAAGACAGACGTTAAAGAGATAAACATGCAAACAAACATGTGGCCGCAAATATCCATAAATGACCCGAAAGGAAAGCACAGGCGCCAGGAGCAGGAAGGAAATAAACAGGAGTCTGGGGGGCGAGCGCAGGCAGGGCAGGCTTCCCAGAGGAAGTGACACTGCACAGGGGCCTGAGGACTGGGCAGGAGTCAGCCCAGGAGCAACAAGGAAAAATCCCCAGCCACAGGGACAGTGTGTGAGCCTTGAGCCCAGAAGGAGAGAGCGTGTGGCCCAGAGGCTGGCAAGGGAGGCACAGCTGAGATGGGCAGGACGCGCAAAAGACCTTGATTTTAGAAAATGACCACAGAAAGGCTCGCCGGGATTTACATTAAAACATACACATCTACTTTTTCAAAGTCATCTCCTGGATTCAGCTGGTGTTCAATTTCATCTCACCTGCCCTCCACCTTGTCCAGGTGGAAAGCACTGGAAGAGCAGGATCAAGTGAGTTTCATTATTACTCCACACGCTCTGTTGTCTACAAAGGAGAAGGAAACAGTTCTTAGAAGATTTTTAACACAAAAGTTAGAATTGAAGTTGGGGGCTGGGGTTGGGTTTTGGGTTAGATGTTGAATTTTGGCTTGGACTTTGGGTTAGGGCTGGGTTTTGGTAAAGGGTAGACTTGGTATTGGGTTTGGCTGGGATAGTGTTGAGGTGAGATTGGGGTAGGGCTGGCATTCAGATTAGGGTTGGTGTTGGGGGTTAGGGTTGAATCTAGGCTTGGTGTTGGGTTAGGGTTTGGATGGCTTACGAGGGCCCCATTATGTACACTTACAGCACCAGAACCCAGCAGAACATCTGAGACATAGATGCCCCATGGATATTTCTAACAAATGAATTACCGCTTATTGATAACCTGAAAGACAAGCTGGCAGTATCAGTTCCCTGATTATCTGGTTATTCGTGTGTGTGCGTGTGTGTGTGTGTGTGTTGCTAAGTGTAAACAGACTAGCAAAAGTCACCTATGCATCATTTTACATTTTTCTCTCTAAAACTGCACTAAAAATCATGCCAAGGTAGGAAACAAGGTAGACAAACTGTGCATGTCAACTGGCAACCAAGGCTGGGGACACATCACCCAGGAGACCGGATACTTGGGAATAAGTAAGAGAGGGCTGGAGGGGCCGGCGGGGGCTGGTGGCACAGGTTCCCGCAGGGTTGGGAGGTGTCCAGATGAAGGTGATCAGGCCGGAAGGTGGAGCTTAAATGAGGATTTGGGGGAGAAGAGAAAGAGATGAACAACAATACTAAAAAGCTGGGCAGACCGCAGCACTTGGAGAGCCTTGCAAATCACACAGATGTAACCCAAGTGACTCTGGGGCCCATGAGACTTGGTCCCTGCAGCATCTCATTAAAGGAAGCTTGGGACAGAGCGCACCTGTGGATTAGACATGGGGACTCCCAATCTTTTTCTCCTATTGCAAAGAGCATCAGGGAGGGCCCAGTTTTTACCCCTCAGTAACACTTAAACACTTCTCAACCCCCCCCCCACTCTACCCACCCCCTCCCATGAGGCTTTCCTGCCCTCCCCGGGACCACCCATTCTCCATTTTACAGCTCAGTTTAGCCTCAGGGACTCCAGTTCTTGGGTCTCCTTTTGTTCTCCCCACTTTGCAGAGCGCCCTAAAAGAACAGCCCAGAACTGACCTATTAAGACCCGCCTCTGCCCTCTCCCTCCAGCTCAGCACCCCTGGGGCTCCTGAAACAGCCTTGGGAAAAGTCCAGCCCTCTGCAGTGGGCAGAGAGCCAAAGAGGCAGGATCCTGGCTCTCTTAGGAGGCCGAGGTGAGTGTGGAACGTTCCAGAGACTTGCAGCTGACACCATGTCCAGTGGGCGAGGATTTGAGCAAGAGAGTGAGGCAGTCAGATCTGCAAGCACCTTGGAAGCAGGGATCTGGTGTTCGTGGGGATCCCCCTCCACCGCCTACCCTGGTTAAATGTGTGAGGAGTAAAAAGAGCCCGAGGAGGGGATGAACGCATGAATGAGTGGATTATTGAGCCTTGTGAGCATTCTGGGTTTCAGGCAGGCCTCCAGGACCCCAGGGCCCTCACATCCCTGCTCCAGCCCACGTCTTTGTCCTTCACGTTTGTGCCAGCCAGGTGGGGGCCCGCCTACAGTGACCTCCAGGCTCCCAGGGGTCGGGGCCCAGGCGCCCCCACCCACGTTCGGAGCGCCTGGCCGGGCTCCACCAGCCGCTGGGAATGGCCATGCTCCCCTGGGCAAGACCAGCAATGCCCGGGAAACCTCCCCGTGCTGTTGGCTCCGGCTGTAATTCTGGTTTCCAGCAACACGTAAAAATAGCTTCAAGGACATGCAGGGGGTGGGGAGGGGGAGACCTAGTCCCCTGGCTTCCAGAAGAACCAGCTCCGCACATTTCCATCCCTCCCTCTCCAAGGGCCCCCTGCTGCCGTCAGACTGTGGATTTGAACCTGGATCGTTTCTCTCTGTGAACCACAGGCCTCAACTTGCAAGCTCCTGAGTCATCCGCCCCCATCACCCGGGCAAAGAGAGGCAGATGCAGAAGTCCTGCGGGGAAAGCGCCTGAACTCTCTCCCACCGCCAGCTCCCGCCTGCAGGTCATGCCAGAAGGACCGTGGAGGCTGCCCCCCAGAGACAGCCCGGGAGGCAGTGGGATACCCAGGGCTGGGCTGGGAGGGGAGGGGAGGGGAGGGGGCTGGGGAGCCTCCACCAGGTCTCCAGGGCTTTGAGGCCCCCAAAGAGTGGTGATGCAAATGTGCGCATGCTTCAACCACCTTTCAGGCCCTGCAGAGCGCCCCCACCAGCCCCAAGTTCAGAGAGACCCCAGCAGCAGGAACAGCACTGAGCTGGGGGCCGGAGGAGGACCGGAGTAGAAGCAGGGTATGAGCAGTCAGGTTGGGGGCACAGACTCTCCCGGGGGTCTTGTCTGCATCTGCTAGAATCTTTACAGCCCCGTGAAGGTCTTAGGAGGTGTCCCCACCCCTCAGACGGGCAGAGTGGGGCTCAGGGTAGCGGCCAATGAGCCGCCCCACGTGCAGGGCCTGCGGCCCCACCAGGCAGAGCCAGGATTTGAGCCCACAGGGGCTCAGGAGCGGGCTTGTGCCACAGGGGTGGGCTAAAGGCTGGGGTCCATTTTCTTCTCAGCCCCCTCCAAGGCCCCAGATAGGCCTGCCCTCCTCCTAAAGTTCTCATTCCCTCAGCTCCAAGCCGAGCCCAGGGCGAGGCCTCAGGAGCTCCAGCCCAGCCCAGCACAGCGTATTTCTGGCAGCAGCCAGGGCGGCCACAAGCGGCCCTCTGTGGTAGCCTCAGCCACCGCCCACAGCCCAGGCCCAGGCCCTGGCCTGGCCTCCAAAGGGCCCATTGTCCCCCTGCCTGGGCCGCGGGGCCTGGCTCCTGGACATCCGGAGTCGGGGCAGAGGGTGAGTGGGGCGTGACTGAGGGGCCTGTGTGAGCTCTGCCGGCCAGACGCCCACTGAAGCAAGAAAACAGACTCCACCCTGGAAAGGCCTGGGACTGGCCTTGGAGAAGGGCTGAGGTCTCTCTCACACACACATCCCAGGAGTGACCATGGTGAGGGCGTCCACCCCACCAGCCCAGGAGCAAGCGGGCAGAGCCAGGGTTTCAGGCCAGTGAGGTGGAAGAGTCTAAGACAGGCCGGCCCGGGCGGGTCATACACCTCTCTGAGCCTCGGTCTCCTCATCTGTAAAGTGGGACACAGATCACCTCATTTATAGATGCGCAAACCAACCCAGCTTCAGAGAACTGACCCCAGAAACTCGAGCCCACAGAGCAGGATATTATTTTTTAACATTGAAAGGGTTTGGCTTAGCAATGTTTGCAAACATGCCCAGAAGTCAAGAGAGGATTCTAGTGGGTCCATGCACCACCCTTCAGTTTGAGTCTGCGCAGACTCTGCCCTCCCTGCTCTAGCTACCCTTTCTGTTATTGTGTTCTTGACACCATGGGAGCAAATTTAAAGCCAGTCCCGGACAGGTCGTTTCAGCCAACATCCTTCAGTATTCTCTAAACACACCAACACGAACAAGCATGATCCTGGCCACAGCTGGCAAAAGTAACAGCCGCACTGCACCTGTAACACCCAGGGGTAACCAGCCCCCCGAGAGCCTCCCAGGGCTGTTCTCCAGGTGATGTGTGGGAAATGTATCTTCATGCCACTGACTGTCCATGTCCTAGATTTGTTTGCTTCCTCCCCGGGTCATTTTACTTTCTCTGTCCCTACAATGCTTGTAATTAGGAATTGAGCCTCCTCCCTTTTAACGAACTGTTTTATTGAGGTAGAATCCCACACCATCAAATTTGCCCTTTTAAAGCGTAGAATTCGGTGTTTTGGTCCATGTTTTGGTCCATCCATGGAACGGTGCGGCAATCACCCTGTCCAACTTCAGAAATTTCCTCCTTCCCAAAAAAGGCCTCTCCCTGGAGCCATCATTCCCCATGCTGCCAGTCCCTGGCTACCAATGTCCACTCTCTTTCCCTCTAGATGCACCTATTCTGACTCCTAATATAAATGGGATCATGGAATAGGTGGCCTTTGTGACTGGCTGCTTTTACTTAGCATAATGCTTTCAAGATGCATCTGTGTTACAGCTGACATATGAACCATTCTTTTTTATTGCCATGTAATATTCCATGGCATAAATACACCACATTTTGTTTATTTGTTCCTGTACTTTTATTCCTGCATTCGATGGTGGACATTGGGGCTTTTTCCACTTTTTTGCTCTTAGGAATCATGCTGGCATGAACGTTCAGGACAAGAGTTGATATGAACATGTTTTCAGTTCTGGTGGATATACAGATGGGACAGGGTGTATAGACAGGAAAGTGCTTATGTGTAACAACGTCTAACATTTTGAAGAACTGCCATATTGTTTTCCAAAGCAACTGCACCATTTTACAACCCCACCAGCAACATACCAGGGTTTCATGCCCTGGCCAGCACGTGTTATTGTCCATCTTTTTTATTTCAGTCATTCTGTCAGGGGTGAAGGGAAATTTCATTGAGGTTTGATTTGCGTTTCTCTGATGGCTAATAGTATTGAGCATCTTTTCATGGACTTGTTGCAATGTTCCTGTGTTCTCTGGGAGAATGTACCTTCAAATCCTTTACACGTTTTTTTTTTTAATTTTTAATTTAATTTTTTAATTTTTTTAAATCTTTTTTTTTAAGATATATTTATTTATTATACAAGCACTGGGTACAGTCAGAAGCGCGGGAGGGTGAGAAAATTCACCAGAGCAGAGCGGGTAGCAGAGCAGGCAGAAGGACCGAAGGACACTGCTGAGGGGAGCAGGAGAGGTCTGCATGCCATGTGAGACCCTCCTCCGGTGGCCGGGGAACAGCCGGGGATCGAACCGACGCTGCAGAGGCTGCGGGCAGCTTCGCAACCCAGCGCTCAACTGCTGTGCCACCTGGGAGGCCCTAATTTTTTTATTTTTTAAACAATATTTCTTCCCCCCACCCCCTCAGGTTGAGTC